ATGTTTACTTCATGTCCAATTTACATGATTTAGTTTGGTGAAGTCTGAAAATATCCCTACATATCTCCTATCTGAAGCAAACAGTATGAACTAATCTGACATGTATAAATCAAGCCTATTAACACATATCAACGTATTATCAAAACTAAAATGAACCAAAGCCATTAAGGGAAGTCTGCTGAGTCACCCTAAGCTTTGATTGTTGATTATAATTATAAAGATAATTATAGTTATGCAAACTGCAAAATATGTTCCAAAGTTTGACACATACTATTCTGGTCCGTGTAACTTTTTCCGGAATTATGAAGAGGTTGCAAAACTCACGAATCAACTGCATACTTCCAGTCATTTCTATACCGCCTTCACCGTCACCTGATACAAACCTTACATGGGGGAGGAATATGTTAATAGTATGAATCAATATAAGGAAGAAGGAGAAAAGAATAATAGGAAAGGTAAAGAACCTGTCACAGATTCCAGTCCAGCAGTTGGAAATTCAATTTCCTGTAGCAGAAGCTTGAGGGTAAAAAACACCATGAAAGATCTCTTTATATATGTATAATATCTCTTCCATTTTTATAGGAAAAGCAAAGAAAAGAAACTAACAGACCATTAACTGCTTTTCATCCTTCAAAGCCAACTCAGTTGCTTCTTTAGCCTGTTGATAGTTACAGGCCACAAGTTTTAATATCATCAAAGTAACAACTACCAATGACAAAGGAGAAGAAATGGAAGAACAAAAAATTTGGCACACATCTATCCTAAAGAATACACATTGCAGATAAATATTTACTAAAATCTAAGAAAATCATGTAAAAGAACAAAGAAATTTTTCACACCCACATACACATGGAGGTATAGATCAACTCAAGCTTTCAAGTGCTTCTATGAAAAACTTACTCTTTGGTCCAATTCTTGTGCACACTTCCCCAATTAAGTTGAGTTAATCATACTGAAAAAAGTAATCGCATAACTCTCATGTGTATTGGAATTCAAATTTTCACTCCGACTATGGTGTTCGTAAATCATGTCTTTCCACTAACTGGTTTTAATCCGGAGGAGGGGAGATTGGATAGTCGGTTGATAGCTAAGGTGAAAACAACTAAATCAACAACTGAAGCAATTGCTAAAAGTGGCGCTTCAGCAAAACACAATTCAAAACCATATACTGCATACCAAATAATGAAGTACAAGCTTACTTGTTCAAGAAGTTCAGAATAATCAATAGGAAATGGCACATCAAATCCAACTGAAGAACCACTATCCCCAGAAACAGAATTGGTCACGAAATCAAGGTTTCTACACTTCTTATATGTGGCAATTCTTTCTCCACCAAAACCCACATCCTGTTTTATCTGAAAGTCTCTAATGTCAAGACCCTACATTTTAATCAATAAATAAATCAGCAACCAAAGCCAATAATCGAGAAAGGGAAGAAATTGTACTAGAATATATAAAAAATGGTTAGAATTTCACAAGAACTTCAGTGTTGATAAAATTTGGGGAAACTGAAGAAAAACGAAGATAGTGTTTACAATTAGAAACTTAAATTTTCTATTATTTTGGGATCCAAAACTGAACAGTTAACTTGGATGAAGACAATTAATTCAGATGGGTATAGTAAGTGGAGGGTTTTAGTTACTTGCATGCTTAGTATTGAAAGATTGAAACCATAGTCTTCTTTTTCCTTTTCCTCCATTTCCTTAGCAATACGAAGGATAAAGAAAATGGTGGCAGAGAAATTATTGCTCAGAGTAATCATACCTTTTTCTGTGGAAGATAGGGGACTGCAATGGGAACCCCAGAAACCGTTGACGAACTGGATAACGGCATTTTGAAACCACAGAGAGAGAGAGAGAGAGAGAGAGAGAGGTGGATTGTGGTAGCATGTGTTAGCTTCTTTACTCAATGGTGCACTCTGATTGGATAGAAATGCCTGTGCCAAATTTCTTAAAGTTTTAAGGCCTCGTAAAATAATAATATTATTTAACTATAATTTATCATAATCATTAAATTATATTGATTGTGAGTTCCAACAAATATTAGGGTTCACCGGTAATCAAATGATTATGAATAATTAAATTAACAAATTATGTCTAAATAATATTACTCCACACAAAATAGGAAATTAACAAATTATGTCACTAAATCATGCTAAACTTTGATCGTCTTTCTAAATTTAGGGGTGACGATCAATTCATGTCATGTTATATTCGAATACAATTTCAAAAATAAATGTCATGTTCTAGTGGACACATACCATGAGCCACAATGTCAACTAGGTCTCCTTTTCTGCATCAAATCTACTACACATAAGCCCTATAAACTCAAGTATCATTTGATTCTCAATTATACAACTATTCTTAGAATACTAGATCAAAAAAACAAAAAAAAAATAGATTTATTTAAAGTTAATTGCACTGAAAGTTCCTAAAGTATGAGATTTGTCTCATTTTTGTCTCCAATAGTTCAATGCATTACAACTCTTTGCAGAGATTGAATACACTCGCATGGATGCATACTTGAAACGTTATCTTTAAGTATAGCTACCAGATTATATAAGTTTGAATGATACATAAAGTATAATTGAATAAAAGCTTTGCAAGATGAAGACATATTGGAAGTAATGTTTTCCTAAGGTTGTTTTCCTTCGTGAATTCGCCGTCTTTTCTTTCAGTTTGTTTCGAATAGGTGATTTGTTTTTGGCTCTTAACTTATCAGAAGGTCCATGATGCAACACGAATCAGAAAAAAGCCTTCGTCCCCCTCCTGCATACGAGGGATAATTTCTTGAAAATTTACACCATCTCACCGATAATCACAATCAGCACTAATATTGCAAAAAGAATGGAAAGCATACTCGAACTCTTTGCAAATGGAGCTTTAATCAACTTACACAATGAAGATTTTTCAAGTTTTGGTCATAAACTTATTTATGCTCCGAAAAATGAGGCAATAAACATACAAAGCATTCAAGCAATTGTAAGAGAAACCATTCTCAGGATATACTTTAATGTCAGAAATTTCCAGATACAATGCCAAGTTTGGTTATGCCAACAATAGGTATATATACCCAATGAAATGCCAACAGCCACAACTACTGCACTTTAGGATAAGTAATGGATCTAAATAGCTACCAACAAAAAGCATTATAAACAAATTGAAGCAGTGGAAGTAACATTAGATTAGAGTAAAAGGAGAAGCACATTATTTCCAATTCTATCTCCTATAAGCAAGTTGCTTGGTTTCCAATACGGCTCCATTTGCGCCAAGAAAGTCATAGCTACCTCCTGCATTCAGATCAAAACTTATGGAACCTCGTTCAACCTCAAGCTTGACACCCTTCTTTCGTTCTTCTTCTCCCAAATAAACAGACCCATCCGTTTTCCTATTAATATTGTTAAATGTGGCCTTCTCGACAATATTTTCATGCCTCTCTTCTCCGTTCATATTTTCCATGAAATTTGATAGAGCCACATTGAAGTCGGTTAGTTGAGCTTTTGTTGCTTCCAAATTGTTAGGGCAATTGATATCAAATGAGAGACTCTTTTGAGCTTTCTCTAGTATTGTTTGCAAATACTTCCCGTGGGCCTCTGTTCTCATCTGTAATATCTTTTGTACCTGTAGTAAAGAGAAAAGATGTCCAAAGATGGCAAAAACTACTACATGAAAGAGCAAAAGATTGCAAGCTATATAAGCAGAGGGCTGAAAGGAATTGCAAAACTGTTGGCTAGATACATACCTCCAGCTGCTCCTGTAATCGTTTCTGTACTTCGATCTGACTCCTAAGGGCCTCTGTAATTGGGATTTCTCTGCTTAGAATACAACATTCATTAGCAACAAGAAGCAAATACTAGAGAATGAAGTACATACAGCTGAATATGTAAATTTAAGCTATAATCCAAATAACCATTTATGGTGCCATTATCTTTCAATCTATATATACAAACTGAAATCTGCTTGGTATCAAGCAAATATAACTTTCATACAGGAGTAAAAGTATGATAGCACATACCCTCGTTCACTGTTCACCCCTGATGAATTGGTACTGGTGCCTGAGGAATGCAAATGTCCATAGGAATTTCCTGGAACTCAGAAAGCATGACACATATGAGAATCTGGAAGCAAGAGATAAATAGAATTTTAGACGAGACACTGGAACAAAAATGTCACATATGTTTAACATTTGGCCACTGAAGAAATCCAAAATTTAGCAGCCAGCGGTTTGAGCTCATAAAAGTCCTAGATTTTATTGCGCGACAGCATATTCTTTCCTGTTGAAAAGGTTGAACTCATAAAAAATGGTCTAAGGGAGAGAACCTAGTGACTTCCAGTTTGATCAACCTCTGTGGCAGAGATCTTAACAAAGAATCCAGTATCAAAATGTACTCACCAGCAGTCTCTTGGTTTTGTTCTATTGTGTTCTGTTTCTTGGAGTGTTGTCCAAGCCTGTATTTCTATATACATCAAAATTCAATCAGTACAACATTGGTGGTTCATAGGGAAACAAAAAAAAAGAAGGCATATGGTATAAGCAAAAAATAGACATACACCTGTAAATGACTCTTTAGATGGTACAGTGTGAGCCCCTTTAAGCCCATTATCCTCAGCACTGATTTGGGAGTCGCTTCTGTGCATTGAAAATCCTTTCCAGATTAAGTATGCATTAAATTTGTGCAAATATAAAATACACATGTGAAAAGATTCCAGTGTGTCGGTCTCTGTGGTACTATTGCATTAACTATTTGACTACACAAGCCATGGAAAAGATGTGTTGGAACCAATTGCTTTAAATACAGCCTTGTTAATTTTTCTTATTCTGCCCTCTTGTTTTTCCATGTGACTAATAAATGCCAAAGTAAAGAACAATGTAACTTGTCCTAAGGTTCTAAATTAGACATCTTGCACGCATTTTTCAAGCAGTTATTTAGCCAATATTAACAAGATGAGTGAAGGTTATTTCAGAAGGAAAAGATGGCATCAATCAATTGGCCGTCACAGAGGTTGATCTGCGTCACTTCATGACTCATAAAAATCCTAGTCTCGAACTTACTACGCAGTTACTTGGCCATAAAAGTACTTGATCAGACAGCAATTCTTCAAAGAGACTAAAGCAGCAAAGGCCATAACTAGTTTTGACAGAGTGGGAGAAGAGTTCCCTAAATTACGAAATTCCACATGAAATTTAGATATAAAACATAGACTCTGCAAATGTAATTTATAGTTTTCTAGAAACCTTTTATCAATTAGTTATGTTGATGGAATGCTCACGGAAAGAATTCTATCTACAAAAATAGCAGGATCATTCTCATTGTCATTTTTGTATTTTGTTATTACCATAATTCAGACAGATGCATTCCCTACGAGAGTCCTTACACATTCCATGAATTTAAATTTAAGATTTGTTATGGGTCAGTTGAACTTAAAAGGTTTAAAGGTCATTCTATTGTAATACAATCACAAACTTCATATCCTGTAAAGTAGTTAGGTACTCTAAATGTTAGGATTTCCTGTATTACCTACAATTGTCTTGGTTTATTAGAAACCTATGGCCATTGCCAAGAGGTTGCACGAGTCCAATGGTTCATTCCTTACCAAAACACTTACTAACAAAAAAGGAAAAAAAAAATGAAGGTATTATAAAATGGGGCTACCAGTATGATGAATAAAATCAGATTTATCTGAAGCTTTTTTTTTTTTTGATATCCTAGTTGTCCCAGTAGATCACCGTCCCGGTAGAAGTACTACCCCGCTCACGTACTAGACTAATGTTAGACCTTGTCAAGCCGCCTCTCCAACACAAGGAGTAAATCTTTGGATGGTGGCCTCAAGGGACTACGCTTCTTAGAATATTCGAAGCCCGACCTATTCTCACCCCTCAAGAGAGGTTTATCAAGTGGCTGAGCTACCACTACTAGGTAACCTTAGGGTTTGAAGCCTATGTTATGCCTAGTACAAGATTTTATCAACTTATTTTGATGATAGATGTATGAAGTGGACACTCTCAATTTGGTCATAATTTCTAAAATTGCAGCAAACCAAACAAATGAATGCTCTTATTTGCAAATTGAATTGCAGAGACAAACCATATTGCCAGATGGGTGACAATGAGAAAAGAAATAATAAAGAGGCTAAAGGTTAGTATAGAGAGAGAGAGAGAGAGAGACTCACTGTCAGGGCCACCAAGCTTAGTGACAGCATCCACAAAGCGTTGATGAAGATCAGCAGTCCATCTCAGCCTTGGCTTTGGGTCTCTTGTCATTACCACCCCACCACATCCACCCTCGTATGGATAACAATCTTCTCCTCCTCCTCCATCACCACTACCATACATTCTCTCCATCACCTGTTCCACCCCCACCACTGCTCCAAACCCCACACCCTGAATTATCCTCTTTCTGTCTACAAAACAAAATCAACTTCTTGAATCAGCTTTTGCTCTGTTTCTTTTTTTCTTTAAACACCCATTTTCCTTTTTCTTCATACAGAGAACAAAGTTACCGGAGAATGAATTCAGAACCCAAAAAGCTAAAAGGGTAAAAGAGAACAAAAGATTTTGTGTACAAGAAGCTGAAGAGATAATTATGTTTGCTAACTCTAAATTGTTCCCTGCAATTATATTTCCAAAGAAGACCCAAATGACCAAAATGCAAACTTCCGAATGGAGAGAGAGAGACAGAGAAGGAACAGAGTTGGAAGAACTTGTCCAGAGCTAAAAGTAACAGCAAAGAGAATATATGTTAATATATATACTAATAATAATATTTTGTAAAAAGAACATGGCGAGCAAAGATCGGCGACGAATCTGAAGAAACGATTTAAAAAATAAGAGCAATCACAGTGTACACTCCACGAGTACCACCTCTTGAATCACCCACCGCCGCATTGACTTGTATTATTATTAAATAAAGGGCAGCTCGGATATAATATCAATAATTTAAAAAAAGGCGTTAGTAGTAATTGAAGTCTATTATATTTTATATTATAGATAATAAAAAAAAATTTAAATTTTTTTTTTATTACCTTGAATTTTTTTTAGAACATTTGTTGACTTTAAACATCACTATCATTGATTTAAGTATAAATCTCAACATTTTATTAGGTCAACAAAATGTGTTAATATTTATTGTCCAAAAAAAATTTCTCTATACAAATTTATGTCTTTCAATGCACTTTTTTTTTGGTGACATTCATGGATCCATACTAGTGATGGGTTCACTAATTATTAGCAGATATTTTTTTTTTTTTTTTTGAACTAGTTTAAAGACGTATTCTTTTAGGATCAAAGATAACTGATCTTTAAAGATTATAGAAAATATTGACCCTGAGACTTTTAACTTGCAAGAGTGTCATAGACTTGACGATTAGACCATCCTCAAAGGTTATTACCAAATCTTATTTGAATTTAAAGTTAGCCATCAATATTATAAAATAAAATCGGGTTAACTTTCCTCTAATTTTTCATCAAATTCTTTGTTTAATGGTCTTATTAGATTCAATTAATTTTAAATTTCAATAATTCAATATACTTTTTAATTAATTAGGTTTTCTCACAAATACAAAATTTGACCATTTATAAAAATTACAGGACTCTAAAAATCTCAAGAAAAAAATTTATTATAAAAGATTTAAATCCCAAATACATTGTAAATGTGAGAAAAAGCATGAGCCATCAAACATATGCTAATGTATGCGACAATTTTCGCACAATATATAAGAATGATAGATTTCTCTCTAGTTGAACTCATGCTCATTTAGAAAGTTGATGATCCCGTGACAAAAAAAAAAAGGAAATATAGCTAAAATGGCCTAAGGAGTGGTGATGAATTGTTTCAGGGGTTTTTCTGATCGATCCCGGTGGGTAACAAGTCGTTCTTGACACATAGAAAACAAGTTAGAAGGGCGTCAGAGAATTTTCTAGCGTATCTCCTCTGACGATTAAGTCAGTTATTTGAAAGAGGGGAAGAAGAAAACTCAGTATGGTTCTTGAGGGTGATTTTGTGTACCTTTACTTCACATTTTTTGGAAATTATTTATATCTCCAAAAGTTCATCATTATTAATAGCCTAGTTAGTAGGTAATACCTAGACATAGGGCAGTATGCCTCTTATTTTGCATGAGAGAGATCCCGTTATTGATTGCTCAAACTCTCGAGTATTTAATGCTCTATCTTCAATGTAAAAACTTTAAACACTCGAAGCCCAGAGCATTTAATATTCCATATCATTGGCTTCCCAAACTACGGTGGATTTTCCATCACTGAAGATTCATTAAATGCTTGCCTAGGACAACCATAAGTTAGCAAGGGTAGTTCTGTCTATTTATCCCTTATCCTACACTTTATGTCACGCGTTTGACTCTCCTTGGTTGAGTGTCCAATTCGTTCTGTTATTCTGACTTCATTGTGTAGAATGTCCTCATGATTCCTAGTCTAATTTAAACTATTCAGCTGTCAATCGATAACCTCTCCAAAAACCGAAGACTCGTGGCAAGATTAGATTTTCAGTGAGTATCCTTGGATCCGAGGACACTTGGCTCCCTCAGAGTGAAGGTACCCTTGGAGTTGAGGGCACATATCTGTCATAAATAGGGGGAGTACCTCAACGCCGAGCAAAGGTACTTGTGACAAATTTAACACACACCTTCAGAGTCGAGAACACGTGTCTTTATTAGAATAAAAGTGTTCCCAAACTACGGTGGATATCCCATCACTGAAGATTCATTAAATGCTTGCCTAAGATAACCATAAGTTAGCAAGGGTAGTTCTGTCTATTTATCCCTTTATCCTACACTTTATGTCACGCGTTTGACTCTCCTTGGTTGAGTGTCCAATTCGTTCTGTTATTCTGACTTCGTTGTGTAGAGTGTCCTCATGATTCCTAGTCTAATTTAAACTGTTCAGCTGTCAATCGATAACCTCTCCAAAAATCGAAGACTCGTGGCAAGATTAGATTTTCAGTGAGTATCCTTGGATCCGAGGCCACTTGGCTCCCTCGGAGTGAAGGTACCCTTGGAGTTGAGGGCACATATCTGTCATAAATAGGGGGAGTACCTCAACGCCGAGCAAAGGTACTTGTGACAAATTTAACACACACCTTCAGAGTCAAGAACACGTGTTTTTATTAGAATAAAAGTGTTTTCTCGGTGTTGAAGACACATGTTGTCATTTATTCCTTTCTAAAAAGTGTCTCATCAACTAATTTGGACAAATTAATATGATACAGTAAAAATAAAATAAAATAGGACCTTAGTTTTTATCGTCATCCTGTGGATGCAGGCGGTAAAGGTAGGGATGAGATGCAGATGATTAGGGGAGGATGCCACGTGGATACCAGTGTGGAATATTCGCCGGCAAATCAGGGGAGAGAATATAGGTGCAGTCACGTGCCACGTCGGTCCAATGCCTATGAAAATTTTCTCATTTACCTTTTCACACAACTTCATTTTTACATCACCTACTCAAATAAGACTTACTATTAATATATGAATCCCATGTTCATACGCCATCTATATTTTTGTTAAAAAAAATATTATATAATTTATATTTATATTTCAAATAAAAGGAATTATTGAATTAGTGGGTTCCATCAATTTTTTTAAATGGAACCCACTAATCCAATGTTCTCTCTTTATTTGAGATGCAAATTCGAGTTACAGATTTAAGTTACGTAATATTGCTCTTTAATAAAAGTATAATAGACTAATTTTAAAAGTAGATGCTTGTATCAATTTATGAAGTATTTATCTTTTATTAATATTCTAGTCACGATATATGTAAATTAGTTTAGATATCACTAAACATTGAAAAAAAAAATTTAATGGAGTGAAATTAAATGAAAAATGTAATAGAGAAATCAAAATCCGACAAATGGGGACGGCCAGTTTGAAATTCCGCACCAGTGTGTGACTTTGTGAAAGTGAACCAGTGAAAGGCATTGTCATTTGTCCAACTCCAGCGCAAAATAGGAGAGAGAGAGAGGGAAAAAGTGAACCAGTGAAAGACGTTGTCATTTGTCCAACTCCAACGAAAAATGAAGAGAGAGAGAGAGAGAGAGAGAGATAGGAGACACGTTTCGATGTTTCCGTCAGGGACAGGTTGTTGTTGGGAGTAACCGGAGAATATTCCCGGGTAACGCTAGATGGATCGAAAAAGGACAAGTTTATGGTAATAAAAAAAACTAGTGGTAGATCTTAATTTTTTATTTATTTATAATTATTGATTATAAAAATAATAACTTAATAAATTAAAGACAATTTTACACTGTCTTGCTTTTCTCTATCATAAATACTAAGTATCATAATTGGACCTATAAAAAAAATAACTATCTTAATATTGTCACAAAATATCATAATATAATAATGAATTATCAAAGAATTAAAATAGACCCCACTTATTTTTTTTTATTATCCGATGATTAGGGTTGTTAATCAAACTAAACTACTCGAACTTGACTTGAGTTCAGCTAATTCAGGCTCGGTTCGATTTTTAAACGAGTTATAACTTGAACAAATTTTTAGGGTTGTTTAAAAAACAAGTCCTACAAACTCGGCTTGTTTATGTGCAAATATTCGGACTCGGCTCAGGCTCGACTCGAGTTCAGCTCGTTCAGGCTCGACTCGTTTCCAAAACGAGCCGAAATTGAACAATTTTTAAATCTCGATTAAAAAATAAACTTTTCAAGTTCGGTTCGAACTCGACTCAGACTCGTTTGACTAACAGCCCTACTGATGATAATACCAAATGAAGTTTTGAACCATATCTTTCCTTTCACTTTTATTTATTACGAATTTAAATTTTTAGTTGTGATATCAAAGCTAAATAGCATTTGATACCTTTTTTACTTATGGTTATCATTTTTGGATGATTATAAAGATACCCATTCCGGCCACGCCACAACACCCCCACAGACAGAAAGGAAAGGAAGGTGTTAAAGAGTTCTCTTGAAAAAGTTTTATTCTCTTGCCATATTCCTCTTTAAACTTTTCTTTATCCTCTTCTTAGATTTCATCATTGGCCTTTTTCTGATCCCTGCCGGACTTATAATTTAGATTGCATCATTGGCTTAGTTGGTTACACTATGGATGGTAGGGAAAGGCTAGGATACCACACGAAAATTATAATTATTTAAAAGTTAATTTATAATTTTTTTGAAGTATAAGTTATAATTTTTAAATAGCTTGATTGACATGAGAGACTACGATTGATACCGAAGTTATAACTTTCAACTCATGAGGGAAAAATTACAATTGCTCGATCATGGTCTTCTCTTGAGCAATTCTAACTTCTCATTTTAAATATATAATTTTACTATAAAAAATTATAACCGTCAGTACTTTAAAATTTTCCATGGATGATATATAGAATGGTATGGCTTCGTGGATTAGTCTATGGATCACATAGAATGTTGACCAATTTGAATCTTTTGAACTTGGCTTGAATTTAATGTCAAAAAAAATTTAGCATGAACGTCAGTTCATGGATGGTACATAGAATGGTATGGTTCTGTGGATTAGTCTGTGGACCACATAGAATGTTGACCAATTTGAATCTCTTTACCTTGGCCTGAATTTAATGTCAAAAAAAAACAAAAAACTTAGCATGAACTTCAGTCCAAATCAACAAAACGATGATTATCGTGTTAAGTTTTGATCCAAATTATTGTAACAATAAAATTGTACAATCAAGATTTGAAATCGAACAAATTAATGTAATGGTATGATCATGATCTAGATATGGCATTTATGTGATATCTTGAATTTTGACCTAAATTCGAAGATCCCAATTCGATAGTTACAATAGAGAGGTGATTACAACTTACAAGTGAACCTCGCCTCAAAACCCAATAGTAACTAAGGCCCCAATCTATGCAATAGGTAGGACCAATGAACCTCCATCCACATGGACCCATATAAACACCTAATCACCACATATCAAGTTATTTCAACGCTCAATCAATCTTTTCAACACCTAATCGAACATTCATTTCAAAATCAATTGAAATATTATTGTTCTGAAGAGAGAATTTATGGCTGAGGGGAACCCTGAGTGGTAGTGGTGGAGAAAATGAGTTAACCATGTTAAAGTAGAGTACTTGCGTGCATGGATGTCCAACACAAAACAAACATGAACAATTTTTTGGCAATAGCCAAAGGCTCCGCTGCAGGAAAATATATTGGGTGTAGCCGTTATACCCTGTACAGTATAACGGTTGAATGATAAGATAACATGTTGACAAGTGAATTTCACATATTCTAGCAATTACACAATCATGTTACTGTATTTAATAACCACTCAAGTGACATTCACCTTATCCATTTGTAAATTTATTATTGGAGGACATGGTGTCATCGTTACACCCAGTATTTTCTCCCAGTGCAGACCATGGTCCATTCTCTACACGTAAACTGATAAGCTTAATGACTTTTTTGCGGAAATTACCGTATTCATTAAATAGACAGCCTATCAAGTATCAACCCACGGGACATCAAAATATGCAGCACAAGCTGCCACTGCAGCCCGGAGAGCTACATCCGCCCTTGATTGGGCAAATGGGTAATGTAAAGCCTACAGAATTTAGTGTACAGTCAGCCGGATAAACTTCTCGTGAAAATGTATTTTTGTTGAAAAAATGCCTCGTCATGGTTGCCCTTTTCCACTAGTTTCCGCTTAGATAATCTTAATTTGCTTGGTAATGCACTTGACAAACCCCAAGCATTGAAGCATGTTCATGGAACAACTTGCGAGGTTGGGGTTGCACTTACTTGAAATGAAAGACATATCCGAATCCACTTTGCCTACGAACACAGAAGCTTAATTAATGACACAAGGAATAAGGAATCCGAATTCGCTTTCTCAGCAAGAGTTTGATCCTGGCTCAAGATGAACGCTGCCATCATGATGTTTGCATGAGACTATCCCCTTGGCCCGGAGATCCTGGCACAAGGTTAGACTTCTAACTGAGCAGTTTCAAAATTTGAGGATGGGAACATGGGTCAACAATCAGGTAGATGTTCTCTAAGTCACATGAGATAATTGGAAGGTATGCACAGCACTGATAAATACCATCAGTTTGCCGAGGCAACAATTTCATCAGCTGGTGGTGGTTGGAATGAGAAATTAGATGGTAGGGTCACGAGTGGTTCATCTCCGCTCAGCTTGCGAAAGGCCATCCCAAGGGAAAATCCCAAGGCTCGTGATACAGGAACAGCAACAGCATTACCAATCTGACAGTACCTGCACATGGCACAAACACCACTCTAATTTAGGGTGATGTTGCAGTATAAGAAAATGACAGTCCAGTCTATGAGGCTCCTCACATTGCGAGATTTGAAGAGTGTTAGATGTACGTAGGCTATCCCCAAAAGTTGAGAAACTGTTTTCACTCAAACCCATGATAGGTCACAATGTAACAACATTACCACTAAAGGTCAAGGGATGCAGCTGTTGCAATACGATGAGTGTAAAACCAAAGAAATGGCACATTAGATGACAACAATATTCCTGCATTAATCGACATCAAATTAACATTTATCTGACCTAAAAAGCTTTTGAAATCCTGTTTTTAGAAAATACTTCTCAAAGTGCATTGAGAGGATCATCGCCCAACAAACTCCAACCCAAACCTCATCAACCTTGTCAATGAAGAAACTCAACTCTCTCGATACTGTGTATTTCTCTATACATACATGTCAATGAGAAAAGAATGCAATCCCAATTGAGGTATGTCACGAGTTAGTAAACAAGTGAAATAATGTTTTTTGGAACATACCTTTCTCTTACACTTCCACAAAACCTATAAAAATCTGGAAACCCTTGCAATCTTGCATACTCCCGGATGGTGAGAATTCGATCCTGCTCTGGATGTAATGCTGCCTGAAACAATCTTATGAGATTGCAATAAAATCCAAAAGAAGTGTATCATCTCTCTCTCTCTCACACACACACACACATGCACGCACACATTTTGTATCACTTAAATAGAAAACCAAAAACCAAAAGAATACCTGGTTGTGACAATTGGGGAAAGTTACTACTGTTGCCACTGTCTCATCCCACCATAATCTTGCAAATGGCCTATAAATATACCCCAAACTTCAACAATACACTGGGGCGGAAAAATATTAGAAGGGCATATTGAAGAAAACATCAAACCTTTTAGACTTTCCTTGTTCAAAAGTGAAGGCGTAATCTGGTACCTATAAGCAAATAAAAATAACTTTGGTTAATCTACTCACTCCATAGGTTTTTGGTTAAAAAAACTGTTACGGAAAATCAGAACATAGAATCCTCATTTTCTACCGTCCAATATTCAATTTTACTTGAATCAGTGAATTTCAGGTCATTTTGATCCATTACAGCCCTTTCAGAAATTTTTTTTTTTAAATCAACATTCCCATTTTCCAGAAAAAAAGAGCAGATAATAATGATAATCCCCCACTCAATCCGTTGAAGAGCAGATGATAATGATAATCACCCACGATATCCACTGATTCTATTGAAAATTAAAAGAACAAACACTGAATTGCTATGTTCCATTTGTAGGGGAAACCAAAATGATAACCAACATGTGCTTAACTAATTGAATGAAGTGAGGAGATTAAGCAAATATCACCATAAAAAGACAAAACAAGATTCTGAATGTCTTTTCTCACAAGTGACAAACATTATGACAGACAAAGATGCGGAGAAAGAAAAACAAAGCAGGTAAACACTATTCACCCAACAAGATACCAAAAAATTAGTTAATCCCAAAAAGTGTCCAAATCTTGCAGATCTACGTTATCAAATGCGGTTCATGGAGAAAAATGGGCTTGGCCAAACTCTTCAAATGAGTGAAAATATGTGGCCAAACTCTTAGAATAAGTGAAAGTATGTTTGTGGGCAAATTTAACTCAATTCAACAAAGCCTTGTCCCAACATTTTTGGGTCAAGCTATATGAATCCTGTTACGCTACTGTAATCTATCAAAGGCCACAGTTTCTGACTTTCAGGTAAACAACAAACTATGATATCCATTTCACTAGCTCATTCAAAGTTGATTTCGTTGTACCTCTATACCTCACATTACCATTTACTTGTATCCATTACTCTTGCTCACTGATGCAGTAATAGTCATCGAACTATCATGTTTGCTAACTATTTTCCAATAATAATATATGTTAATCTTAATGTATAATAATACATACATTTATACATGTGCATAAATGTTATATACATGTGGTTATCTTTAGCAAAACAGAGAGAACACAAACAAGAGAACCATAAAAGGAAAAAAAAATTGTCTTTGAAAGAAAAGTTACTCATTTTTAACATTTTGAAAAAAGTATTTCTGCGCAAACCAAACAGTACTATTCATTTTTTTGTTAGTTTTCTTAAAAAAAAGTGAAAGGAAAACTTGAAAAAATCCCTAGGAAATGGTACCAGGTGATTTTATATTCCACCACAATGTCAAAAGCAATAAGCTTATTCAATAGTCAATCTTTATTAATTTATTTTCTCTTCCTCACTGTATTAAGTGTTACAAATCTTCTTATATTTCTGTTCAATCTGTGCTTAGATATTTTTGGATAT